TTTTTTTTTTTTTTTTTTTTTTTTTTTTGTTCTCTTTTTTCTTCTAATCATCGTCATTGTTAGTCAATATCGCTATAATTTTAAGCAGTAATATGTAACAGATATGTTTTCAAAAAAATAATGATCAGAAATGTTGATATGTTGGACGTTTTTAATTGAACTAATAAACAATGACGATTTTGTTAACTTGTGAAATTGAACAGAAAGTAATAAATTACTATTTTCAGTTATTTTAAGCCGGGTATTAGCAATGTTATTGAAATATTTGGTTATTTTTGGTCTGATCAAATTTATTACTGCTGTAGGAGATAATGCTGAAACTATTCCCGATTCACTGCATAACCCAACAGCTTGTAATACCGAACAGCACAGCTATGTATGTGATGTTGATGGCAGATTAGTAAGATTCGCCAACCAAACTATTGGTAATACTTCTAACCCCAACTGTTTCTTTCTTGTAGAAAATTCTTAAGATTTTTTTTTCTTGATTGTTCAAGTAAATAATTTGTTCTGGAAAGAAAAATTTTGTAAATTATCTGCTTCACCGCATATAATCGTTGCTCAATGTATAAGAGAATAGAAACTTGATACTTTAGTCTTCTATAGCTTTCTGTCTAATTTGGGCAAATTTTTTGTAGTTTTTTTTTTTGCTGTCATTGACACCGTCAATTATTTATTCTATAACTAAGTAAATTAAGCTCTATTTCTTATAATATTTGACAAATTCATACACAAGGAGTGCAATTTTAGCTTTATTGGAACCATTATTTAAATTCTAGATAATTGAAAATATTTATATTTGTAGAAGAAAGTTTTATAATCTGAGAATTTCTGGAAAAAAAAACTAACTCAAGAATTCAAGTCTTTTTCAAAAAAAAAAATAAAGTTATTAGTAAAAATATATAAACGAGTAGAAGTTTTTTGAAATTATTATGTAGACCAAAATTTTATCTTGTCTGTTTCTTTGAAAAATTCGCATTTTTTAATTTTGTAGTTCAGTATGCTTAAGTTTCACCCTTTCTTTTCAAAAATTTATTAAATAATTGATACATCTAATTATTTGAAATGTTTAATTTATAAATTATAGCAATAAACATCAGAGATATAACCTTAAGTTAAGGTAAATGTGCTGCTGCTATATAATCTTTTGATAAATCTGATAAAATTTTCAATGTAAGGAAATTTTGAACTGAGTTAATTGTGTATATAATTTGTCCTTTTGTCAGCAACAAAAACTTCCCTACTTTTGACTTCTCGTCTTCGCTTAGTTTACTCAGTTATATCGGAGTGTAAAAAATTGTTATTTTGATTTGTTGCCTTTATCTGCAGTTTTCTGCGATGTTTTATCGTTAGATTTTTCACTGTAAGTTTTGAGCCGTTGTTATGATAAGAACTGTGAGAATTTCAACATTATTTTCTTTTGAACACAAAAATTATACAATAAAAACAGAATAGTTAAAAAATAATTACTTAATCTAAAAAAAAAAAAAAGAAAACAATTTTGTTCTTTAGTTTTTTTGTGTTTCAAATTCTTAAGAGATTATTGCATAGATTTCAGATATAAGTATTGTACGATATTTTAAGGGTAATGCTGCAATAGTTGACTATAACTCACTGCTTCTTTAATGTCGTCTTACAGCAACAACAATAGCAGTATCTGATATTATAAATTATAAAATTTGTTTGGTGATGAATATCTTAGTTTTTTTTTGTCAGTCATTTGACACTGTCTTTTAAAACAGTTTTGCGAATATCGTCGTTTGCAGTTATAGAATGATCTATTTATTTCTGTAAGCTAAGAGAAGGTTAACGTCATTTGAGCTAAATTGCACTAAAATATCTGTTGTTGTTAGCATTATGTGGTAAAAGCGTTTTACTTAAGCTTTTCAAGAGTTACCGGTTTAAATAATTTTTGGCTAGTTTGGTTAAACATCAATTCGAATTTTATTTATTTGATTGATGAATAAGGTTTTTTGCTGTTTTTTTGGCTTTAAATTTTTCTAAACAGCCAAATTTATGATCATTATTTTGATTGAAAAAAAAAAAAAAAAGGAAAAAGTGAGTTCTTTGATTATATTGTTTTTGATCGGGGTTTAGGAAAACTCTTCTAAAATATAATTTTATTAATATTGCCGAACAACAAGCGCACATTTTGTTTTACTCATTTTATCAGAAAAAAAAAAACATTATATCGAGCCATTTATAATGATGAAGTTATACTGCTAAGGTTGTTTTTAGCGGTTTAAAAACAGGGATTTTTATTCTAGTACAGACGAAGCTTGTTTCAAAAGACTGTAGAAGCAGGAAAGAGTGACACAAAAATCCTACGTACAAATTATATAATTAAAAATTTTAAAAACTTAGAATAAAACTTTCATTCTGGTCAGTCAAAAAACCGTAGGTGGTAGATAAAAATGGCGCAAAATTTGGATAAAACTGGTTGCTCTGATAACTGCGAAAAGTCGTCAGTTTGGCTTTCAGTTTTTTGTTTTTTTGTTGTTTTTGTTCTTAAAAACGGAAAAGAAAAAATGTTATTACAGAAGTTATTAAGGAGGAATAAAGGAATAAACCGTGTAGGAAACACTAAAGCATTAATTATGCGCTACCAATTAGTATTGTCAAGAAAGTACTCTATGCCAAATGTCAAGTTAAAGCTAACTGAACAATAATTCTGAAGCAAACTCTAGAAAATTAAGAAATTTGTTGGCAGCAGTGCAGGAAAATAATATATAATATAATAAAGGCTATATAATAAAGGCAAGAAAAAAGAGGAAGCTTGATAGTGATGTGCTTCTTATGGCTTTGTTGATTCTGAAAGAAAACAGCTTTTTTCTGCTCTTCTAATAAAATAATCAGTACTTCTTTGATCTACAACTTTTTCTTGGAAAAGTTTACAAGAAAATAGTTGGGCAGAATTTTCTAGAAACACGAAAAATATGAAAATATATAAAACTGTCATGTCAAGCCCAAGAAAAGGGTTTTTTTTTGCATTAAACTTGAGAAAGTTGCTGGTGTACAATGAAGAATTTAATTGTTAATAACAGATATTTTGTCTAATTGAAATGTAAATGTCATGATCTTTAAATTAGAAAAAAAAAATTGGTCAGAAATAAAGAGTGAAAAAAATTGCATCAATCTAAGACTTAAAAAACCAAACTTTTTATAAACTGATAACTGGTAAATAATTATTTGTTGTTAAGACGTATTTATTATTGTAAAAACTAAATATTCTCTTTTTTTTTTTCAAATCTCAAAAACTGTTTTCAACAGTTTGATTGTACAGTTACAAAAAAATTAATAAATTCTGTTGGAACAAATGGTGCTGCAAGGTTTTTTTTCAGGTAAAAATTGCTGAAAAGTGGTTTATTAGAAGAAGGGAAAAGCTAAATTTATGTTTTGCAATAGTTTTTTAATGCTAATATTTGTAGTGCTTTTAATTTAATGCTTAAAAAGAAGAACTTGTTGGCCAAGTAAAAATATTTTGTCTAATTGAAATGTTGTTTTTTTTTGTTTTTTTTTTGCTATGTTTCAACGCAGTTGTTCGAAGTTGCTTTTCAATTTGCCAGGTACATTGATTAATGAACAAAGAAGAAAGGTACAGAATTGTATCTAAATAAACAGCTAAAAATATCAAAAAAATTATTACAAAATAAAAACTGTTGTACTAATATGAAGAAAATTAAACGTCTAAAAAATGCTAAATATGGCTATACAGTTGACACTTATAGAGGAGAGCTAAGACAACAAAGATCAAAAACGACAATAATAAATAGTTTAATAGCATTTCAAATCATTTATACCGGTGGTAGTATTAGTTTTCGCTGTTTCTACAAAAACTTTTTTTAGTGTAAGTAGTTGCTTGAAAAACTAATTTATCTTACCGCTATATCGGCGCTGAAATTTTTGCATTGAACTTTAAATTATCAACCTCCTTTCTTAAGCTGTATGAAGTGATATAATTCTGCTGAGAGTTATGCTGATCTTAAGTGTGAAAAAATTCTAAATTTTACAGATAACAACTGATGGCAGTTTGATTAATCTATGTATCTGTCGGCTTAATTATTCATTGTTTTAAATTTTGTGTAATTTTTTGGCAAATTATAGCTGTGATAAAATGCTTATGCTTTTCAACTTATAGACAACATCAATACTATTCACATTATATCAATAAGTGCTACAGACTAAACTGCGTTAAAAACTTTTTTTTTTGCCCAAAAAAAGATTATTCCGCTTGATTAAAGTCAATTGTTGGCTGACTAATGAACCGTTTAAGGAACCAAAGACTTGGATCAAGCGATTGAACATATTCGCAATACAACAAAATGTCTATGCGTACCAGACGAATGCCAAAAGAATGTCGGGACAACAATTTCTGTTGTTGTTGTATCGACGTTGAAAATGCGTGAAGGTGAAACGTAAGTGATTTCAGAATTCACTTCATACTATCTTGCCTCATATACTTTGATAATTTGTCGTTCACTTCAGCTAACATTTCGTCTGCTGCGCAAATGGTAAACAAAAACTTTTTCACCGTTTACAAATGACTAGTTTTGTTGGAAAAATAAATAAATAAACAAATGAGTAAACAGATAAACTGCTGCAAAATTGTGAACAATTTATTACTTCGTTATTTGGCGTATTTATTTTGAAAAAAATTTCTTTTTTTTTGTTTAAGTAGTCCGGACAAAGTACTGGAAGCAATGAAAAAGTTTGCTGATGAAGTTCGTAGAAGGCAAAGACGAGGAAAGTGTGACGACGACATTCTAATAGCTGTATCTGTTGACCAGAAAGCGGTTTGTGTCTCAAATCTTTTAAGACAAAATGACAGAAACTTTAATTGGCAATAGAAATCAGCTTTAATCTACACTTTATGTCAAAATCATAACTTTTGAAAATAAATTTTTCGGTTTTAAAAAAAATTACGAGTTTTTATAGCATTATGGTAAAAGATACATCTTGTATCCACGTTTTTCGTAAATTTAACGCTGCAATATAGAATATATTTATATGTAATTATTATTTTGAAAAAAAAAAAAAGTAGATTTCTTAGCTTGACGTCATCTGTCATCTGTAAAGTGTATCTTTAGATACGAACGTCGTATGGCTCACCTGTAGCCGAAAAAATTAGTGACGGTCTTGACATTCAAATAATTCACAATGCAGGTTTCTAAAATTTTTCAGATTTAAAATAAGTATAGGTGGGCGGAACTGACAGTATTTTCGTTTATTTTACATTTATGACGAAAAGGTTTAGGGAAAGCTGATCTAGACGGCCGTAAAAATTCAATGCTTTTTTGGGAACAGTATACAGATAAACCTTTGAATAATTATTTGTTTTTATTAACTATACCACTAAGAAGTTGGTCAGTTGATCACTCAGCAATTTTGCTTACGGTTTGTAGACTTGTAGTTTGACTGATTTTTCCTTGAATAACATCCGTAGGCTAAAGAAACGATGTTGAGCGGTCTCGTTCTAAGTGTCAACTAGTTATTGATAAAGTACAGGTCAACCTCTAGCACTTTTTGTTGACTTCAATGGACAAAAAGTACGACTGATTGTACAGATACTTGATCTGTTTTTGAAATCACATCGTGTACATGTTTTAGGTGGTTATTTGATAATCTTTACCAGACTGGGTAGAATCACTTAAAGCATTTTGCGACATTACACCTAGATAAATGGCTGCGTGTAATCAACTATTTCGTCTTCTATCTCTTTGGTTTAGAGGCTGATTTTCGCAAAAATGAATGGGCTAAAGGTTTGGTGAATATGGTCCTGAATTACGGCAAAGCGCTAAAAGGAGAAGCGGTACCCGGAGAAGAAAGGCATAATTGGTACGATGAAATACCCATTTGGGCGCGGATCACTATACTGGCTGCTCTTGGATTACTTCTCTCCATGATCATTCTTGCATTAGTGATCTTCTGCTGCCGCCGGAATCAGGGTTATACAATGGGTCATCGGAGTGACGGAAGCCATGAATAAATATTACAATTTCAATCTGCTTTTTTTTTCTTTTTTTTTCGTGTCAAAGTAATTCGACCGAGTATGATAATCTGAATTCCTGACAATGATCCGTTGCTGAAGCTTATATTAATTTATGCCAAATTCTAGTTGAAGAACGTGTAGAGGCCTGGAACGTGATGAAACTGCAAAATCTTTTCTCTTTTGAAATGTTATTGCTTTTTTTTTATTGTTGTTAATTAACGTCTATTGTTTGAAGTTGTTCTATTGTATACAAATACTGCTTGATAACTAAAACTTAATTTTCCAATGTACAAATTTTAGCAGTGTTACTGAAGAAAATGTATTATGGTTTTTTTTTTTTACATTTTGAAGCGCTCAAATAACAGTTTACACCGATATTATGAACGTCTATGCAGCCCCAGTGATTTCAAAGCAATTTTGCTTAACACAAAACAGTTCCCTCTGTGCTGACCTCCTTTCATTTCACTCGTTGATAGTCATTTCGGCTCTGTTATCTTCAAAAAGTGACGGATGAGAATTAATTTCTAGTTTCCCACTGCATTTGACGTTATCAGTTGTTGTTTAATATAACACTATTATAATTATTCGTAAAAATTGCTACTGTCACTGATATTTCGGTGTTGTCTCTCGTTGGCTTCTTTTAAAACATCACGCCTGCTAACAGCACTGATTAATGAGCCCAAATATTTCTTAACAACAGTTCAGGAAAACAATGAAATTATTTTGGCACCGAGACTGATAGATAGCTATTAAGCAGAACAGCTCAATTACTCTTTAACTGTTCCGTGTCGGCATATCACGTTCGCTTTTTGCCATTTCTTTCGTAATCAAAAATCCCGTACAAATATAAAATTTTGTGCAGCAAGTATTTGTTAAGCTGAACAGTTTGTGAAGAGGACGATAACGGGAAGTTCCAGGACACAGAAATAATTATTTCCCATATGTCTGTAAGACAAAGTTAGGGTCAGAATTGTTGTAGGCTTTAAAAATAATCATTTACTGGCTTATAACATGCTGATGCCAATGACTGTTTTCTGTCTGAATCTGTATAGTTTCTAACATTTTTTGTTTTCCAGTTTTTGCCTCCTTTCGTCGACTAGTATCTGCTTGTGCAAACCACTAGTAAATGGGCCTTAAAAAAGCTACTTAAAAATTGATATTTTTTTTGAATATTTTTTATGCATTTCAAAGTTCCATCAACAACAAGACTAATAATGATGCTGAAAAAGTTGTTACGCTTAGGTCGAAATGTTCCACGTTTTCATTGTATATTGCTTTTGAAGTCTTGCCAACAGCATATTATTATAAAACAGATGCAATGATTTTGGACGTAGACTGAAAGCTGGCAAAAGTCGCTTCATTCAAGGCAGTTCCCGTGCTTTCCGCCAGATTTTTGCCATAGTCGGCGAAATCACTATGTTAACATTGCCAGCATCAGTCAATTTCTATAAAAAGAATTCAAGAGTTCAACCTGAATTCAAGAGTATGCGCCACTTCGTTTCAATTAAAAACGGCTCTATTGCCTCAGATGTAGTCGTGACCTAAATAGCATCTTTTATCGTTTTGCACTTAACCACTCCGACCCTCAATCGCTTGAAACGTCTCGAAAGATACGAGATGGCAGTAAGCTTCTCGCAAAATACTGTGTTATTAATCCCAAGAAATTAAGAAGCTTGCAAGATGATTGTCGGTTTCCCCACATTTATTTTTTTTTGTAGGTTGTACGGGAATGACAGAAAAAGAAATAAAGAAGAAGACATAAACGACTTATTATAAGAATAATCACAAATACTTTAATCAACAGAAACACAAAAAAGCAGTTTTCCCATTTTAAAAAAGTTTGCCATGTACACGAGTGTGGAGAGACTATTACTGTTGGGAGGGCACAAATCAGTGATAAAAAAGATTCTTGTTTAGTAAAATTTCCGTAAACATCAGTTATTTCTTAAACATGTTACATTTTAAAACCTCTCGAACCAAAAAATTCTGGTAAATCATAATAAAAATCAGAATGAGGAATGCTACTTTGTTCCAGACCAACATTACTAAAGAAAAAGAGCATGTAAGATGAAACACGTGAGAGATCTTTAGTTGCATTGTAAGTTGGAAAACAAACAAACACAGAGTACAACGAAAAATTAATTGCATAGATATATGATAATAACTCTAGAGCAAACTTCAAAGAAGTAAGACAAAATAAAATGAAGAAAAAACATTTTTAAAATGTCTAAGGATTACAAACCTTTCTCGGTATTTACAGTGGTTCGTCAGAGGTAACAAAATTGTTTCCAAAAAAGGAGGATAACGACCAGTAATACAGCAGTGTGTACATTCTCACTAAATAATGGACTGGAAGTTAGTCGTTGGTACTCTCACTTTCACTGGAGCAGTCAGTTGGCGGCGTAAGACCCGTATGAATCGTTATTAGAGAGTTACAGTTAACACTGAATGCTGGATAGTAAAGACCGCATGGCATATTTCTGAAAAGATCTATTCCAATGCCTATATTCTGCTAGACCAATTCATTTACAAGAACTAATATCCAAAAAGCCAAAAGTAATTAGAAAAATATCACCGGGTCAAGAAGAAACTTTTGAGGAATTGAGAACAGCAATAAGTGGCTGAGACGTACGTGAAAGCAACTTTTGTCCCATCATGTTCGCGCTGCCTATCGTTAACGTAAAATGATAGAGTTCCATTGTCGCAGTCCATGAGTATACCAATTACGGATCCAGTCTGTACTCCGCCAGGAACTCGACTGTGATGTTTTTCGTTATGCAAGTACCAAGACCGTTCACCATCTATATACATTGACCAACCGTGCAGATCTTTACCTAGAAAACAAAAACAACTACTTTTTTGAAACTCATAAGTAAGTTTGACAAAAAGTACTTCATGATCATTCTTTCGTAAAAATAATTCCGGCAAGTATTAGCATCTTTACCTAACATAGCTTGGCGATTCACGGATGGCTGTGCTACTCCAACAACAATATCACTATTTCCATCATGCCGATCTACAGTAACCTCCCAGTAGTGTAAACCTCGTGATACTGCCACTGAACCAAGTACACACCGGTAGTCCACTGTTGCGGAAGTTACAGACATGCACTCATTCGAAAGCTGAATATCTCTTTGTGACGGCGATTTACTCAGTTGGAACCAGGCAACTAAAAACAGTGCAGTCTTCGTCAACTTGTTTGCTCACTAATTATCAGTAATTCATTTCAGAATACTTATTTATCCTAACTAAAAGAAAGTTCTTGTAGTTCAAGTCTGTTGTCCGGTAAAAAGGAAACAATATCAAGCAATCGATAAGGAATCCAAGTAAACTATTTCCTAAAATTACATTAAAAAATTCCTTTTGATAAAAATTTAGAATGATACCAGCAGCAGTCTGAAGGCCAATTATTTCACTGTAAAGGCTTTCTCCAGCCGCGTTAAATGCCTTTACTCTTGCGTTATAAACTGTATTGAAGTGCAGTCCGTCAATGGTGCAAACAGTGTCAGCACCACAGTAAACTTCCTAGATGAACTAGTAGTAAACGTCATTCTTGAAAGCTGTTAAGTATCCTTAAACGCTCTTCAAGACCAAAAAATTTAAAACAAAAATGAATTAAAGAAATTTATATCAATTAGGTTTAAGAAGACTTCTGTAATTTGCGATCAAAAGCGTACTTTAAAAATGCCATCATCTCTGCCGGAATCGATTTCAAGTACATAACCGTCCACTGCACATCCATCGTTACAAGGCGTCCAAACTACAGTCACTGAATTGTTTTCAGCCGCACAAGCTGATGTATCAATCACCGGAGCGCTAGGCACTAAAATTTTATCCCATTTGAAGCTCACTGAATGTACAGTGTTCGTTTTCAACAACTACTACCACCCACAAATATACATATATAGAATATTACATATAAAACTGGAAGAAAAGAAAATAAGAAAGGGCAAGCTGCAAGTTTCTTCCCACAGAATAAAAATTCAATCGTGAAAGAAGAAAGAGTGAATTGCAGTATGTTGTATATCATATCAAAAAATGCACAACACCGACTATCAACATATGCTGTGATACTTTTTCTACAAATCTTTTTAAGACCTAGCAAAAAAAAAACTTTTTCTGGAAAAAATGAGCCAAGTAGAACAATTTAGCTTCCAGGCTATACATAATTTAAGTTACATAAGCTTCACAAAATAAAAAAACTTAACGGCCTACAGGAAAAATCAACTTGGGTTTTTTATAGATGTAGAGACTAGAGTTCAACCCAAAGAAAATTTAGAGGTTTAATTAATAAATATAAACAAAAGTTGATTAAAGTGCAAAACTGAGAACGAAATGGCTAAAACAAAAAAAGAGTAATAAAAATTCAAAAAAAAAAATCGTTTGTCAGGTGTCAAGGTAGTAAATAGCATGCGACAGTGCATAAAAAAGTGCTTTTTGATTCCATCACTTAACAAAAGTTCTGTTTTGCCAAAAATTGCTTTCACTGTGTCAGGAAATTTTTTTTAATACCTCTCGATGTATCGCCCTTTACTCTGATAACTTCATGTCCTGAAGGTTGTTGAACATTAATTTTTTAATTTGGTGTTACATTTATTCAATGTATTGTATACAGCTTTATAAAGGTACAAAGTTCAGCGTACATTTTACAATAAAATAAAATTGTTGCTTTTGTAAAAATAAACTAACCCTTCAGTTGTGCAAAGTTCAACGTCTGTATCGCATACTGTAAGTGCTTAGTATCTAAGTTTAAATTGAAATCTACATCAGCTTCTGGTTTCGTTTGCATTTCTTTATGCCATAAGAATTCTTGGGTTGTAGTTCGATTGATCAGCGGGCCGCTAGCCTAAAAAAAAAAAGCAATGTTTTTATTGATATACAGCCTACAACAATTGTTGATAACACAGATATTGGCAAAAAAATCTTGTATTTCTTGTCTTAAAACAACGACTCAAATTCTAATTACATCACTCGTGTTCTTTTCATTTGGTCAAATGAAAGAAACCAAACAGCATACCTCAGCT